CCTACATGCTTTAAATAGCATATCTATGCAAATGACCCCATTGGAATGGGACACAAATGCAAGACCAAACTAGGACAAATCACATTTTGGGCTTATGACCTAACTGAGTAAGGGAAGCAAAGCTAGTTGCCTTGTTTCTGAAACCGCTTGTCAATACCCAGCACAACTTTTTGGGGCTCAGAACTGCTTTGCTGTTGTATTAATGGGAACTGTGGAAACAGATTTAAAAGTACATATGTGAGTGTGGTTCCAAGATTCCTATCACAATTTAACACAGCATTAAAAAGAATAATTAATTATTTTATTAATATAACAAAGTAGAAGTAAATGTAAAATTGTCTAATGTTCCTAATTTTCTAGAACTTTGGTGCTATGTAAAGTTTGAACAAGTCATTACAAATTTTTGATCCGATTAAAAAAAAAAGCTGAAGAAAGTGGGAAGTCGTAAGAAGCCTTGCTTACAGGACTGCCATTAAAGGAAAAGAACAAAAGATATGTAGTTTTTTCTTCTGGATGCCCATTTTGAAATACCTTAAATAACAATTAAGATAGGGACCCAAGAACTGAAGCAGGAAAATCACTAGCCATTTCTGAAACCTTTCACTTCGGGTGGCAGAAAAATTTTGGAAATGTCACCCACCCTCCTTAAAAGAAGACAGGTAGAAGGAAGCAAGATGAGCCAAGACAGACAGTTAACTCAGGAAAAGTAGCTGTCTAGACCGCATTGGACAAGACAGTCAGGCCAGGTCTCCCGTAGAATTTAGAAAGTTTTTAGTATCAACTCTAGTCTATAAGGGGAATATTTAGCAGTTTTCTTCTTAAACTGCTCTACTTCTACCTTTATTTTTACAGTGTGTGTGTCTTACTACCACACGGACGACGACGACGACACGGGACGGGGACGGGATGACGACGACAACACACGACACCAATATTTTAATTGTTGCTTAGAGTAATCATGTTAATGAACTATCAATTTACACTGTCAACTTGAAAGAGAATCAATTAAAAAATGAGTTTGAATTTAATTTGGAAAAAATCCCCAAACAGCTTTTTGTTTCCCTTTTACTATAAGAAACAATAAAAACAATGTAGAATATAATGTCAAATGCATAAAAGGTAACAAACTGTGATAACATAATATTAGCATTATTTATATTGATATCAAGTGATATACTTTGTCGGATGTGCTTATTTTGAGAATCTCTTTGTATGTCCTCAAAAAGAAATCTTTCAGCACAGTAAAACACTCTGGTTACAGAGTATCCCACCTACATTTATGACAGGGATGGGCAAAATACAACCCGCCTCGCCAAGGGATTTGGTTCAGCCTATGGTGGGTCCCTTGGTCCTGCCCAGCACAGGCACAGGGGGCAGCCTGGGTCATGGTGTGAGTGACCAGTCCTGCCGCCCCTGGGTGTGCAGCAGGGTTCTGGCTGCCACTGCCAGCAGACCCAGCCTCGCTGCCTGGACACCCAGGGGGTCTACCCCATACCCACCACAGTGTGTGGGACCCGCATGGATGGCCCTATGGGATGGGGCCACGGATAGGCAGGGGGCAGTGTTCAAGAGTGGAACAGGTGGGCAGGGGTGGCGATAACAGGGCAGCAATAGCGCAGGGCCAGGGCAGAACCGTGATCTGCTACCTTCATGGCCCTGCAACAGGCACGGTTTCTGCAGGCAAGGGCATGCAGGGAGTGGATCATGGCTTTGCTCTGGGCCCAGGCCCCATCCTGTCAGCACCCCAAGGTCCTGAACCTAGCCCCAGAGGCAGCTTCACCTGCATCCCTATTCCATCCATCAGCTGTGCACCCTGCCCGCGTAGGTCCGTGGAGACCCTGGGATCACTATGCAGTGACAATATGGGGTTGGGCCCGGGGCAGAGCCATGATCAGCCCCCTGCATGCCCCTGCTCATCGAAACAGTACCTGTGACAGGGGCATGCGGGCTGAAGATCATGGCTCTGCCCTGGCCCCTGGTTGTCGCAGCCCCATGATCCCAGCGCTGGCCCCATTCAGCTGTCCTGCTCCTAGATGCTGCTCCCTGTCCATTCATGGCCCTATCCCAGCAGTTTGGCCGCATGCCACTTAGGGAGTTTTGGTGAGCTGTTGAGCACAGGGGGAGGGGAAGGGGGAGGCAGGGTTGGACATGGCCTGTGGCACCTCATCAAAACTCCCTATGCGTCCCGTGAGCCCAAATAATTGCCCAGCCGGATCTATGAGCTTAACGTGCTGTTCCAAACACAGACAGCAGAGGGTTCTGCTTGATTACAGATCGCAAATGCTCAACTGTTTACTCCATAACCTGGTAGATCCTAAAGCAGGAAAGCAAATACTACCTTTTGTCTGATGGTTATTTTTTGTACTTGCATGATTAATTATAATCCAAACTCACTGTTCTGCGAAATCCTCATTGCTGGTTTCTGGGCCCCAATGGAAGTGCCGGAGCTGTTTTCACCAGTAAGCTGCATGAGGTCATTGATGATGGCTTGCTTGTCAACTGAACCAGCTGGAGCACCTGGCCGAGTATCTGGGAAAAGCTGTGGTAACTGACTGTTCTGTAGATCATCCAGAATCTCCTCCAAGTTATCCAATTCACTGCCTGGCTGCAAAGGGGAAAAAAAATACAGTCCATTTTGTTGTCAATATGAAGAGAGCACAAGGTCAAGTCATGGCTCTTGAAGTCAGTAGAACAACAGGAAGGGAATGAACACCTGTAGCTCTTGAGAGGCTTTTGAGCTCCTCTCCAGGAATCCAAAAAAGCAGGGAGGGGGATTACTACAACTATGGAAAAGGGGCAGTCAGTACAACCATCCCTGTATCTGGGGAATTTAGCACTGCCCAGAGCACATGCATTCCATTCATCTTAGGGTCAGAGCATACAACCAGCCCCACTACAGATGCCTCATACACAGGATACTTTTTCTGTACACTTCTTCCCCAGTACACAAGCAGCTGTAACTTGGCAGAGAAAGGAATCTCTCAAATGATGATGAAGATAGAGATTTATGAAGGTCTGACAAATATCCCTTTCGGTACAATCGTATTGGTATTTCTTTTACTATATGACCAAAAATTTAGGATGAAGAAGTCTCTCCATGGCTAAAACAAACAAACAAACAAACAAAAAGCCAAAAAATCCCCCCCACATTCATGCATATTTTTCTTTAGCTGAAAGGTTAAATAAGGTGCACAGGCCACATGTTAAAGATACACAAAAGTAGCTTGAAAAAGTTAAAAATATGTGCTGTGTATTAACAATGGCTAATTAGTAATGAGGTCTAGGAGAATATTTTCCCCTAGTTATGTACACAACTCCCAATAACACCAACAGGGAATTACCTGTGTAAAGCAAGAAGAAAACAGGCTTTTTATTAGATTAACCGTTTAAGGTAGAAATTCAACATACACACAAACACGGCAGAAAATTAATATCCAGCTAACAGACAAGGACACAAAAAAATTAATAAGTATTTCCATGGGGGCATCCATTTTTAGATTTTAGCACTGCTCAGGTCTCTCTGTCATCTTTAAAGAGGTGTAGTTAACAGTAGTGTAAGTGAGGGGCAGGGTAGTGTAAGTGAGGGGTAGGCAACCAGGGCAACAGCCCTGGCAACAGCCCAGGCCCCACCTTTGGGGGCACTGCTAAAGCAGATATAGCTGCAGCTGGTAGCTGGCTGTGCCATTGCTTCTGGAAGCGCAGCAGCCAGAGAATGCAGAACTACCCTATTACATCGTTGGTAGTTAAAATCCTTTATATGCTGGAACTTAGAAAATGATCAACCTTCTAGTATGGCATTTTTACCACAAGTGTCCTTAAACTGTTTTAGATATTAATAAGTACCATATTAATTACTACTAAAACTCACATATAGTATTTTATTAGACAAACTCAGTCTGTATAAGACAAGTTCCAAGCAGGATCAGAACCTTCTTTAAGCTCTGTATAAATACAGAACGACCACTTTGTGCCTGAATGCTTGTCTCTACCACCTATTCAGTTAATCTAATTAAAGATATAAAAAAAACCCTTGCTCTCTCAGGCCACAGAGGCAGTTATGGTTAATAG